ACCCTTGCCTTTTGCTCTATCTTTTCTTTGTTTGAAAGTAAGCAATAGACCTGGAAGCTTTTTGAATACAAGGTCACTTTTAGCTTGCATCTCTATACATGTCCTCCATTTAGAGGGCTCCGTACATTTTCCTTCATCAAACTCAACAAGCTTATTTGGGCACTCAAATTCTCCTCTCTGCACTTTTCTTATACAAGGACATTGAAAGCATTATTTGAATATCATTTCTCTTGCATTGCTTTCGCATACAAACTCATCAGTTTCTCATTTTCATCATGCATTTCCGCAAGTTGATGCTATACATCCTCCAGCCTTTTTATTGCAAATTTTATATGAGAAATAGCACAAGATAAAGTATTTTAACCTTCATATGCCTTTTCATACAAATCTATCAGCTTACTATTTCATACAAATATATCAACTTACTAGCATACAAACAGGATTGCAATTACCATTTTTGAAAATCTAGAAACCCTTGGGACCTCTAGTGTGACTTACTACTGCTTACTACTCTTATGTGGCTACCCACTACACATAAGGTTCGATATCTGCTAAATTTATTGTAGAAGTCTAGGGAAAGGGCCATAAAACGTTGAAGCACATGATGACAATATGGCTTGATTGACATCACAAGCACATGATGACCGGAAGGACGTACCTTCTAATTTCTTCTTTCACAAGCAAATCTTCTATCGCAAATCTTGTCACCTCCTGATTCTTTTAAACTTGAGCGTGCAAGACCTCTACCTCTTTAACTGTTCCTCTTTTCTTTCACCAAGTCGGCCTCTAAATAGATCTTACCGGAGGCAACTGCTTCTAACCTCTTCATTCCTGCGTATCTGATCATGAGCATAGAGCAGATTAGCAGCACCGTAGAGCAAAACAACAGTAGCGTAGAGCAGATTAGCAGCACCATAGAGTAGAACAACAGCAGCGTAGTGCAGAACAGCAGCAGGGGCATAGCAACATGGAGCAGTGGCAGCCTTGACCTTTTATCCCACATGAACAAACCAAGACAAAGTCAGATGAAGAAGAGAAAAAAAAAAAACAAGAGCAGTAGCAGCCTTGCGAGGCAGCAGCTGCAATGGCAGCCTTGCTAGATGCGAAGCTATGCACCTTGAGCTATACTACCCATCAACTAGTCAAATAACCAAGCTATTACTCTTTCAATTCAGCCACAACAACAAATTTTAGCAAATTCAAAGCAGAAACAAATCAATAACACTTGAGCAGGCAAATCAAATCAATCGAAACCAAAAACAAACTAAACAAGCAGACTAATTGAACTAAATAAACTAAACCAACAACAAACACAATCGCACAACCATTCAAAAAATCAACACAAAGAATTCACAAAATGAATTACAATCTAACCCTAAAGATAATAGAGAGAGGTAGGAGGAAAGGGAGAGTGTGAACCTCACAATGGAACTACCAGCAGCACTCAGCAGCAGCAATTACAAAGCAAAGGCAGCAGCATCTCACCAAGCAACAAGGAGGAGCACGAGCACAGGCTACGGTAGGGCAGCAAGGAGGGCAGTCGAGTGGCAAACTCTAGATGAACTAAAAGATTCCTCAATTAACCCTAAAAAGAAACAAATCCATAAATCAAAAGCACCCCAGATTTAAAATCTTTTTTTTAAAAAAAAAACAAATTACAAAACCCAAAAAAGCAATTTCCTACCTCAGTTCTCTTATGATACAGATGCATAAATAGTGCATCAATTCTATTCGACTTCGAAACCTTGCTAAACCAGAGAAAGGATAAAGCTAGGAAGTGCTATGGCCAAACAAAGGGAAGGATGAACTTACATCATGATTATCCGGAACACGCTGCAGTGATGAGTCATTTTTATGTATGTTACAGGATCAAGGTAAGCAAAGGACCCTAAAACTACGGCAGTAGCCTGGGGCCAAACAATGCTTGTAAGAGGGTGTTAATCCCTGCCACAAATAGGAGAGTTTGTATGACCCGTGCCTTGTCGCCTTGGTCATGTTAACAAGGTATCATAGTGTGCAGAAGGCATAGTAGAGTTATAATTACCACAATAAGATAGCTCGAGAGACATAGATATTCACAATCTAATCACCCATTGCCTCTTCTAATCATTCACTCTAATCATATAAATAGTGTAAACAATAATCAAATCACAATCAAACCAGCTCTATATAATTCAAGAAACTAAACAAGAAGACTAATATAGGAGCTCAAGCAAAGGAAACAAATGCAACTCTAAAATTTTTTGCTAACTTTATATAATTCAATTATCATACCAATCAATCCACCAAATTTATACAATTAACACACCAAGTACCTCAATTAACACACCAAGAACAAAGAACAATCAATTATCATACCAATCAATCCACCAACTTTAACACATGAAGAACAAAGAACAATCAATTATCATACTAATCAATCCACCAACTTTATATAATTCAAATTAATTTCAACCACATTAAAAATTTAGAGTACCCACAAAAAAATAAAAAAAACAATCAATTAGCAACATGTTCACCATATTCACCGAGCTCATCATAGTTCAAAGCATAACTACAACTAATCCGAGCAGCAAAATAATCAATACAACTAAAACAGTCAAAAATCGCATCTTCATCACTACAACATCAATCAAACAATACCCTAATTTCAAATCAAAGCAACCAAATCTTAGCCAAACAAAAAAAATAAAACTCTTCAAATCAAACAAGGGGAAGATCTGGACTCCTATTCATCACGAGAAAGAGGGGATTTGGAGACGACTGACGATGAGGCCGCGGGACAAAGTGAAGAAGAGGAGAAATCCAAGCATTGACCATTGTCGCCATAATCACACACACAAAAAAAACCTAAAACCCTAGGTTTCAAATCGAAGAGCAAATACCTTCGTGAAGAGATCCACCACCACTGCAAAATTCAGCGCCAGTGAAGAAATAGAACCGTCACCATCGCCGCCGCGATGGTGAGTGCAAGGGTAAATGAAAGAGAGAAAAAGAGAGCTGAGAGGAGAGTGAATACGATGTGGAATGGGTACAAAGATAGAGAGCTGAGAGGAGAGTGCGCCAGCGGGGTGGAATGGACGGCGGCACGGTGGAGAGAGATCTAGTTGAGGAGAGAGGAGAGAGAAGATAGAGAGAACAAGATATCCAGGAATTAGAGAGAAAGACAGAAGAGGGCCAGGATTATATAGTTTAACACTCGCATCGATTCAAATTGGTGCGCTTAACTTAAGTTTGCACCGGTTCGGGTTGAACTGGTGCGATTACTCTATAATTAGCTACCGCCTTGTTTTTTTCAAAATCGATTTTTAATAAGCGGTGCTCATTTTTCAGTGCTCATTTATGTTTTTCTACTAGTGATGCAAAGGTATGATGGTATGGTATGGAATTGTCACTACAACAATTAACCACTTGTGCCACGAATTATGCCACGGGAATTCTAAATTCGTGGCATAATTTGATCTAGCCACGGGAAAAATAAAGTCAACAAAAAACTTGATATGTCAAAAATATATTATGCCACGGGAAAAAGGAAATTCGTGGCTAATTGAAACTTGTGCCACGACTAAATTTCTTTTCCGTGGCAAATAAACACTTATGCCACGGCTAATTATGTTCCCGTGGAAAATTGACACTTGAGCCACAATTAATATTATTCTCGTGGCAAACAAACACTTGTGTCACAGCTCACAGGTATTATTTTCGCCGTGACATTCAATCTAACACTTGTGTAATATAAAAATTTATTTTTGTGGCAAACATATATTGATACAAACCGATCACGTTCTTTTAGAAAAATAAACTAGGACTAATTCTGTGAATCTTACTACATAGAAGTAATTATTATTTTTATGGTTTAATTTACAATTATTTTTAACCAAGAGATATATCTAATTCCAATATAACAATAATAATAATAATACAATTTAAATCAGAATTTATAGAAAAAAAATAAGAATTTTATTTATATAAATTAAAAGTTTGTACATTGTTATTTATAAGGAAAATTACAAAATTAAAGTATCACTAGTTAAACTAAGAATTCCTTCAAAAAAAAAAAAAAAAAAAAAAAAACTAACAAAAAAACAATTAAAGTTAAAACTAAATCATTTTGTCCCCTAAACAATTTTAGCAATTCTTTGGACTGCATTATCATTTGTTTCTCTTACTTGCAATTCAGGAACAATTCAGGAAGCATCTTCTTCAGCTTTAGTATCCACCTCTAGCGTTTTTACACATATCCAATTGATCTAAATCCCCTGATAAACAAAACACACAAACAAATCAAAACGGTATTTTATATAGATTAATTGAGCACTACAAAAAAGGAACTTGATGTTTGTTTCCCCCCACCCTGAAATTGAAACACACTACTAGAAACGAGTTCATTGAGGACATGAAATCCCGTCGTAAACCCATCATAAAGGTTCATTTATGAACGCATTTTCCACCCAGAGCCCGTCCTAGAAAGGGGCCGTCGTAGAATGTATAAACCTGTTATAATCCCGTCGCAAAAGCCAATTACCAAGGGCTAAAATCCCGTCATTAAAGCCATTTACGACGGGCAAAAATCTCGTTACAAATTCCATTTATGACAGGACAACCCTGTTGTATTTTTATCATTTACAAACCTGCTCCAACAACTCGAACAAAACAAACAGAACGACTGCTACGATAAACAAAGCAAACAGGCTTTTATATGTAACCAGCCAATTAAATCAAACAAGAACAAAGCAAATTTGTATCATAAACTTGCTTACACTATTTTTTTTCATAGACTTAAATAATCCTCAGTAACACTACTTGAGAAACCTCAAATCTAAGTGATATAATTAGTTTGCCAGATAAACAAATTAATCTAATTTTATTTAAGAATCTGAAATAAGTCACCAAACTTCAAATCATTAGAAGGAGAAGAGACGACACACATAAAATCATTAGAAGGAGAATACAAACTTGCTAGTATAGAATTCAAGGCAGCCTGGTGATATTGTATAAAGTACTGCAGAAAAGAATGTCGAGATTCAGAGAGTGTAATAAACAAAACAAACAGAGCGACTGCTATGATGGTAACCACAGATTGATCAAAAGGCGTTGCTATCATGCATGTCAGCATTGATACACCTAGGAGTGTCGAAAAGAGGGATGATACCACTAGGTTGTAGAGAAGTACCTATTGAGAAACACCAGTGCAAAATTTGAAATAATTTCCATCACCATTAGTGGTAGGTAAGTAACTTCTTGAATGCCAGCCAAAGAATGGGAAAGGGATGTAATATAATGAATAGATTTAGCAGAATAATCCACTATAAAAACAAGCAGAAATACATATCATGGGTTTCTGCATGGCAGCATCTACTGCATCATGGATTTCAGAATTGTGTAATTCATAAAAGCTGCTCCACTTCTGGAACTCTCGAGTTGTAGTAAAACAACTCTAACAGAGCAAATAGATGAGACTAAGGCTATGTTTGGATAACAAAAAATGGAAGGAAAGGAAGGGAAGAAAAAGGGAGGGAGACAAACTTCCTTGTTTGGATAATATGTTGGGGGAAGGAAGGGGAGGGGGAGGGAGGGATCCATTTTCCTTCCTCCTTTAATAAAGACCATCCCTTCAAAATTGGAGAGATTTGGAGGGAAAATGGAGCTCATCATTTCCTCCACTTTCCCTTCCTCCCCCTTCCTCCTATTTCCCTCCCTTCCATTTCCCTTCTAATTTGTTATCCAAACATAGCATAATGAACTACTTACGGGGAATTATGTGTTTCACAAAGATGGTACGCCAAAACTACTCCACCCTTAACTATACCATTCTATCCTCATTATATGGAAGATATTGTGACTGATAAACAGCAAGGACATAACCCAAGTCGGGTTAAGATATTGGTGCTGCTAAGGTTTTATGTCCAAGATAAAATTGTTAGATGTAAGGTTCTTCTATTTGCAGGTATAAATTTGTAGGATAATTAAGCAATAAAGCAACACTAGCCATAACAATTCACTTGATTATTAATTCGATTAACTTAATGAACATCATCATCTCTCAGCTTTTAATTTATGATTCGAATCAAGTACAACAAGCACACAATAGTGCGACAACAAGTGGCCAGCAGCAGTTTTATCACAAAAACAGGAAGGGATGAAATAGCAGGGTAGTAACAGAGGGAAATACTAGGGAAGCAACAACATAACGACTGCATTCTACTATCAAATAAATTGAGTTACATATATACCAGTTTCGGAAACAAATCGAATACGAGACACTGTTAAGTGAAACAAAAGCTACTAATAGAAATCCATGAATACACACGCTTACACAAGCAACATCATTGAGCTAAACAGGCACCTTTTGGCAAAAGTAATAATAAAACAAAAAAAAAAAAAAAAAAAAAAAAAGCCACCCCTTTAGATGGTATGTTACTGAGGCTCCACTGGTGCCTAAGTGTCAACAATGAGTGGTGACCCTGTAATCGCTTAGATCCACCTAACTTCTGAGATAACGAATCAAGGTGATTAAAATCACCCTGAACAAGAATATTAGGGGGCAAACAATGGAACATGGTATTAATCTGGTTCCAGACAGCAGAACACAACTCAAGGTAAGGCGAGCCATACAAAAGGACTAGAGTCCATTCATTCATAGCACAGTGACACACATCTGAGACAGAGCAAATAAAAAAGTTTGGTACATTTCACCCTAACCGACAAGGGGATACTCATTATCCAAAACATTCAAATGTAGCATGTAGAGTATACTCAATACCATTCCCACAGTCACACACACCGCGTTAGAGAGAAAATGCTTATAATGTAGCCTTTCTCAAACTGCAAAGAAGCCCTTACTGGCCCTCCAAAGTGTCTAAGCTAATTTCTGTTATGTGTCCATATTTCCATTTATCATCCACAAGAAGGGAAAAATAAAACCTTTTACAAAAATATTAAGTATAGATATTATGTGTCTAGTATAAACAATACTACAGAAAGGGCATATTTTTCTCAAGAAAGGGTATGTATATCCTGTTAACTTCACTGATTCAACACTACAATTTCCAATTACCACATCGTGGTTCCATCAATGTATAGGTCTCTTATATGATAAGCTGCTGCACAGCTCTCACTAGAACTTTTATCGATGGTTGAAATACTAAGAAGAAATTAGAGGGTATATGATGTTCCAACCAATTGGACGCAATCCGTAGATAGCATAAACAATATATAGCCCCAGAAAAAAAAATTAATAATTTTTTTAAAAAAAATCAAATATTAAACCCAAATCAGATCCGAACTCAAATCTCACATAAAAATGCAAAATATATTGAACACCAACTAAATCAAATAACTATCAATAAATAGCGCAACATTCAGCATAGTCTATTGAAACCCATTGAAACCCGAAATGATGATTTGAAACCCATTGAAACTCGAGTTACATTATGAAATCAGCTAATTGGCAGATGATGATAGATTGAAAAAAAATTTCACAACCCATTGAAACCCAAAATGATATTTTGATATCACACATATATATTAAAAAAAAAAAAACCCCAATAAATACCGTTGAAACCTAATTTCAGTGAGAAATTAAATTTCAGATATAGGAGAGAAGGAACTTACTTGAGAATTTGAGATTTCCCACTTGATTCTAGAAGAGAGTAGTTGGATTAAAAGATTGTAATTGGTAGAGAATGGAGGATGGAGTAAAGAACTGGCTTTCCAAAAAAAAAAAGAAAAAAAAATGGAGTGAAGGATGAAGAACGCATATGACATATGAGGAAGCTGTTACTCTGTTAGTGTTTAAGTGTTTTACACCCTTTTTCTTAATGTTTTTTGTTTTTAATTTTGTTTTGTTTTTTTTTAATTATATATTAGTTATACTGAGTATTTATTTGGAGGGAGTTTTACCGCCTCATTTTGATGAGATTTACTTTTAGGGGTAGAATTTCACACAAAATTTTCAACCAAGTTAAACTCTTTACTGATTATGGAGGTAAATTTCCCTCCTACATTTTACTTGTAGCTTTGTTAAATTAAATTTATTTTTTTATTTATTTTTTTTATTTTTTAATTGATTAGAACCTTAGTACTATACAAAATTATAATTTTATATCCGAATTGCTCACTGAATAAATATAAGATAGTACGATATGCAACAACGATCGTAACTAATCCTGGGCACCGTGCCGTGCCGGGCCGCCGCGGGCCGTGCCTGGCGGGCCGCGGGCTGGTTCGT